TCTGCTCACATCTATCTATCTATCTATCTATCTATCTATCTATCTATCTCTTCGCCTTTTCATATCTATCTATCTATCTCTTCATCTTTTCATATCTATCTATCTATCTATCTATCTATCTATCTCTTCGTCTTTTCATATCTATCTATCTCTTCATCTTTTCATATCTATCTATCTATCTATCTATCTATCTATCTATCTATCTCTTCATCTTTATCTATCTATCTATCTATCTATCTATCTATCTCTTCGCCTTTTCATATCTATCTATTTATCTATCATGCTTTTCTGCCATCTTTTTTTTTTTTCGTTTTTCATTATTTCATTAGTCTGTCTCTCTCAGCCTCTATTTGTCTAAAGTTCGCTTTTCACATTTATTATTTCTCTTTTCCATGTCCTTCCTCACCTATCTATCGTCTGTTCAGTTCAACCTGTTTTTTTATATCTATCATTATTTTCATACTCATCTCGGTCGATTCATATATCTATCTATCTATCTATCTATCTATCTATCTATCTATCTAAATCCATTATCTATCTATCATTATATTCATATTTATCTCAGTCGCTTCATATCTATCTATCTATCTATCTATCTATCTATCTATCTATCTATCTATCTGTTTGTTTCTCTCTATATCTCATTCTGTTCATCTCTCTTTTTATTTCGGACAGTTTATCTATCTATCTATCTATCTATCTATCTATCTGTCTGTCTGTCCGTCTGCTCTGTCCGTCTGTCTGTCACAAAGATTTAGCTCGTTTCTTTTTACTTCCTTTTCTTTACACTTTTATCTACTTTTTCTCTCTCCCCCCCTCTCACGCTCTCTCTCTCTCTCTCTCTCTCTCTCTCTCTCTATCTATCTATCTATCTATCTATCTATCTATCTATCTCTTTCCCTATTCTCTTTTTCTCGCGTTCTCTTAAATACTCTCGAAGAAATGCTTTTTTTGCAATTTATATTTTAATTTTTCACTTGCTCTTCTCTTTCGCCATCTTTTTCTTCTCTCTGTCACTCACTCTCAAACCAACCCAACCACTTCTTTAACACTTCTTGTAATAATTCGTGACTACGGTCTTCGGCTCCGACAAAGAAACCCGACACAGAAGAAAGATATACGTAAGCCGGTATGCAACGTTCTCCGACAGATGTCACTGACTGCTCCACCATTTCTTCATTTACTTCGTGATTGTTCAAGTAATTGTGGCTGGCGGCAATTTTGACTTCCAAGCGATATCATGCCATGTTATTTACATCTTTAATTCGGCCAGCTCCCTACTTAGCGTTCGCTACGTCCCTTGTGATTGGTTGTTTTCAGATGAAGAGGATGTTTTCATAGATAGATAGATAGATAGATAGATAGATAGATAGATAGATAGATAGATAGATAGAAACAGTACGCTTCAAATCTATCTATCTATCTATCTATCTATCTATCTATCTATCTATCTATCTATCTATCCGAGTTTGTTGACAGATAGATAGCTAAAAACAGTACGTTTTAAATTTATCTGTCAGCAAACTAAGATATACAGATAGATTAGTTTTGAAGCGTACTGTTTCTATCTATCTATCTATCTATCTATCTATCTATCTATCTATCTATCTATCTACAATCTAAAATAGATACATACATAGATTAAATAATTCATAATTTTTTTATCCGAAATTATTCATGTCAGGCGATACATTACTTTTAGGATATACATATACACACACACACACACATATATATATATATGTGTGTGTGTGTGTGTATGTGTGTGTGTGTGTGTATTCTAAAAATTAACACACACACACATATATATATATATATATATATAATTCTAAAAAAATAGTGTCATATATATATATATACATATGAAACACTATTTTTTAGAATTATATATATATATATATATATATATATATATATATATATATATATATATATATGAATAACCAAAAAATCTTTTTACCTCATGTGGGGAATAGATTTGAGCTGTCTTTTCTGGATCAGTTTTAATATTTTTATATTACTAGGATCCACGAATTTATTTTATCTTTACCACACACACACACACACACATATATATATGTATATATATGTGTGTGTTTGTATGTGTGTGTGTATTACTTTAAAGCTTGTATCAATAGGTACATGTTTTGAAGTATAATTCTTTGTTCCTTTTTAAACAATAAAATTAATATCCGATTCACTAACTCTTACATTATCCGCACAATACCTGATTGTAACAAAACTGCCATTCGCCTATTGTCCAGTTCACACTCCTCCCATCGCTTTTTAACGATGCAGAGGTATATCCTTTGTTTCCTGTTTAGGATTGGATTTCCGGTTTCTTCCAAAGTCTATTTCAGGTCTATACTTCTAACGTCTCCGACTAAACTCTGAAATTGTATTCATTATTTTTTTTCTCAATAGGAATAGATAGGTTTGCTTTCTGTCCGCTTGAAACTCCTTCCCGGTCTTTTGAACAGGAGTAGAAGTTGTATTCTTTGTATCCTGTTTAGGATTGGGTTTCCGGTTCCTTCTAACTTTTTTTTTTTTTTTTTTTCTCTCTTTCAGTCCCAGTAGCTTCTTTCATCTTATCGCTATGCTTGTGGTGAATTGGTTAAAAAGAAAAAATATATATTTGCAGCTTATTCGATGAATCATCATCATCATCATCCCTTCGAAATCCTGTTCCTTCTCTTTCACTTTCTGTGCCCCCCCCCTCTTGCATCTTGGTGGAATTATCTACATGTTTGGGGTCTATATGGATTCGCCTATCGTCCGGATCACGCTCCCCAACGGTCTTTTGAACAGGAGTAGAGGTATATCCTTTGTTTTCTGTTCAGCATTAGGTTTCCGGTTTCTTCTGAAGTCTACTTCAACTCGATACTTCTAATGTCACTGCCTAAACTCTGAAATGTTATTTAACATTTATTCATTTATTTTTCCTAAATATGAGTAGATCAGTTCCCCTATCACCCGCTTCACGCTCCTCTCTTGTCTTTTGAACAGGAATAGAGGTTTATCTCTTGTTTCCTGTTTAGCGTTGAGTTTCCGGTTCATTTTAAAGTCTTCTGATTCTATTCCGCTCCCAGCAGCACCATTCGTTTTAATGGCATCATCGCCTTGCTTATGGATTAAAAAGAAACTCTCACTATATATAAATATTCGTGGAGGAGACGGATAGAGAAGGCGAGTGATAGAAGCAACAGGTAAGTTGACGGAAACAGATATTATAGACGAGATGTGGTGAAACGCTAATCACGTGAACAGCGACAGAAAAAAAACTATGAAACTAAAAATCATGTTGATGCTTTCTTTCTTTTCTCTTTTTTTTTTCTGTTTTTTTCCTTTTATCTAACGGGTCTCTCCAGGACATAGGCGATCATGACTCTCACACACCCTTTATAAACTTTAGACATTGGTTTTTCCCATTATTATCCCTCGTTTTCCATATTCTGCAATCCATTTATACAAGTTTATTATCGTGATTTACTAAACGTGGCTTAGATTTGGTACAAAAACAGAAATGGAGAACCCAGTGATGATCGAACTCACTACTCAGTCTTTGCTACCCACTAAACCACGTCGAAGTGCACAAGCTTGTTAAGTATGTTACTTATTCTTTCCATCTCCCACTCTTACCTTCAGTTTGCTTTGTGAGTTTTAAATTCTCCAAGCCTTATTTTCTTGTTATATACTAGCAGCATGGCCCGGCGTTGCCCGGGCTTGATTCAAAAATCGTACGACTCATACAGCAATCGCTATCACTTGACTTAAAATAGTTTTGCCCTTGCTTGCCTTTAAAGGAGTGCCCTTTGCTGTGCTGATGTTGCTACATGCCTTACTTCTTGCCTATCTCACACTGCGAATTTTTTCGAAGCTCTATACTAAACATTAAATCAGTTACGAAAAAAGAACTAAACAAAATGAACACAAAACGATCAGATTTAAAAATGGACTCGTAACGGGAAAAACCGAATGAAAAAAGAAAGTTAACAAATACTTTTTCACACCCAACCCAGTTCTGCGGAATCAGAAGCAACGTTGAGTTTAAGCAAGCGAATGAGCCAATTGGAGTAAAGTGCCATGCAGATTTAAATTTTTCCCACTTGTGACGAATGCAACTATCGATTTTTTTTTGCATGCTAGTTAACATTCGTGTCAGTCAGCTGTTGGCTCTCACGCTGGCCAATAGAATCTTCCTGCCTATTCGTGGCAGCCAACTATAGGCTCTCCCTCTGGCCAGTAGGAAATGACCGCAAACTACATGAAAACTGCCGTAGAAGCATGAAAAAAAATCGATTATTTCCACTATCGATGGGAGTCGGGAAATGCAAAGTCGGTCTTGGCCTTCCCGCTAACTTGGAGCATGTGCATGTAAATTTTGCGGCCGTGCATTCGTTACACACACACACACACACACACACACACACACACACACACACACACACACATCCTGCCTTTTATAGATAGAGATCCCAGAAATTTCAACTCGCTTTCAAGCAAAAATGTCCTTTTTGTTCCCATCTCCCTTAAGTTTTCCTACTTGCTCACATGTTCCGACTATGGTATTCTCAGGATCATTGTACAGATTCATATTTGTTCTGCTTCAACTCTCCCTTTCATATCAGTACATTGTGTATTAAAGAGAAAGTTTTGGCAGAGATTAAGAACTATTACAAGTATTACTGACTATGATATATATATATATATATATGTGTGTGTGTGTGTGTGTGTGTGTGTGTGTGTGTGTGTGTGTGTGTGTAATAGCGTATCGTCCATGTTGGTGGTTATAAAACAGGATTCCATGTAAAATCTCAATGATAAGTTCCTTCCTGGCAGTAGTTGTTAACGGCCAGTCCTCCAGGGCCCCCAACGATCAGCGGAGACGTCCTCCAAGGTCGACTTCTCAGACCAAACCTCTTTTTATTTACATAAGTGATCTGCCTGACAATATACTCAGATCATTTGTGAATATCTATGCCGATGATATACGGCTGCACCTGCAAAACTCGTGATTATAGATGCGTATTATACATAGGGATAGATATATTTCTTATTTTTTGGTTCATTTGTAGGGATGCGTATCATTTATGGGTGCGTATTGTTTTCGAGAAATTACAGATCAAATGGCGGCTTGTCTTTCATCCGATCTTGCTCTAACATATCAGCCGGGGAAAAATGGCTGACTAAATTCAATGCCTCGAAAAACAAATTAGTTATATTCTATCTTTGCCGATCGGACCCCGAACTACTAAAAGTCATGATGAGAGACTATTCGGCCTTAAATTCACCCCTGAACTCATGTGGAAATCAGACATAAGATCCATTGTTACAGATGCAGAAAAAAAAATGTTCGGCTGCCTGTACCGCCCCAGTAAGTACCTGACTCCTCATTCTATCCTCTACTTTTACAAGGGCAGAGGTCAGGCCGAAAATGGAGTGCTGTTGCCATATTTGGGCGGGAACTGTCCAGTCCTCACATTCCAGTCTCGATCGAGTCCAAAAGCGTCTGAGTCCTTGTCGGGGTCAAATTATTTTCCACCCTCCAACCTCTCCCTCACAGTAAGGATGCGGCAAGCGGCACACTGCCCTTTTGTGCTACTTCCATGGAAAGTGCTCGTTATTTTCCTCTCCTATCCGCATAAATTGCCTCTTAATGTAACCCACTACATGGTAAATCTCATAAATGTATATATATATATATATATATATATATATATATATATATATATAGATAGATAGATAGATAGATATATAGATATATATATATATTTTATTTTTTTTTTTTTATATATATATAAACAGGGTCTTTCAAAAAAATTTGATATCATTTCGCAATCTAATAACTTTGTTAGATCTCCTTCAAATGACTTCAAATTTTAATAGCATCTTTTATGTTTAATGTTTGTTTTATGTTTTTATGTCTTT